TTATATGTCGCTGTATGTTCATAACAAAACGGTGAACGACTAGTCGACTGACAGAACGCGAAAAATATACGACACATTTTTTTCATTCTAAGTGCGACACAAAAATTTACGACACATTTTTGTAATGGAGAGCACAACATAAAAATTCACGACACATACAGCCGACGCATTTTTATTTAGTGTGCACAGAAAAGTTCTTACCTTCATTTTCAACGATGGAAAATGGTAGAAGATCTCTACAACACATTAATGTCAATTGATGTCCTAATTGTTGTTTTAATTGCGATGATTTTGTGGTGCAACGATCTCGAGAAAACATGGAAAGAATATGTTGATTTGTCGTTTTTGTTTGTTGTGAATCTGTTACTTGGTGAGTTGCTAACAAATGACTTTTCATATTTCCTGTACTACTGGTATTCTTATAAATGCTAATAAGCTTCTTAGTTGAAGCAAAACTAGCATCAGGCTGCTCGTTTTTTATTTTTTCAAAACAAATATTGCAAGAAACTCGTTCCATATCTAATGGCTCATTTGGTTTTTTGTACAAATTGTGAGGCTCACTTTTAGGGATGCTTTTATTTAATCTTTATTTTATTTTTTACGCTCAGTCAATGATGCGTTTTCTTTAAATTAATCGATCTTCTGTCGTGAGCTCACGTAGACAGTTATATTACCTTGTTTAAGTAAATAGATAATCAATGATGTTTAATAAGATCAATTGATGAAATCAGTAGATTGAAGGAAAAAGTAGATTTATGTAAATAATAATAACCGTGAAGAAAAAACAATAAATCAGACAAATGAATATAAGGATAGCTCCTTATATATTCGAACGAGAAAAACTAAACGACGCAATAACGAAAAAACATAGCTAAGCGAAAAAGATCACATGATCTCAATCATGAGAAGGATTATCCATATCAAATAGAAAACAAGTAAAGAAAATGTATTCCAATGATATGTATAAGTTAGCGTCATGAAGTGACATCTAGTGACGCTAACACCTCCCTCTTTCCGAGACACAAAATTGATTACTACACCCGCTCATCCGATTGGATAAGCTGATTAATCAATCATGTATACTGTTAGTTACAAGAGGAAAGCGTACACTACATTTTCATGTAAGTGAAATAAACTACTAGAAACGAGAAGAAAAATAGCAAAAAGAATGAGCAAACACGAAGAAAACAACTTAATAAACTAACATTGATAATCAAAGAAATCAACGTTAACTAGTGCTCGTATGGCACCAATCGGAAAAACTGTTCGCGTCAAAAGAAATCAAATTCAAAATTCGTTCAGCTTGTTGTTTTTGTATGATATTATTGAAATAAACGTAGAGTTTATTACGACGAATTTCAAGTAAATGTCCATATTTGATTTCTTTATATTTCAGATACGCCTTCAGATCTTTTAATTTCCAAATAGTATCTATGTATTTGATCGACGAATAAGTTTTTCTTTTTTGTTTCAATTTTTCATGTTGTTTTTTATTACGTTTCTTAACAGCTGTACGTGAACGTGGTATGCATCGAGTGAATGTCGATTTTTTTATTATTAAATCGGCTAAATATTGTTCAAGAAAATTCCATAGAATAGATACATATGGAAAACGAATATGTAAACCATCATTGTTAAGATGTTCAACAGTAATGGGAAGATGTAGCATGGAAAAATCTTTTCGAATCGATAAATCTTCTAATAATATATTATAGTTATTGACATTGGATGACAATGAAGAAATCGATGGAAACAATTTAGATGTTTTATGGCATGGAAAAACTGAGGTAATTGAAATATCAGCTTTTGATTGTAGATGATCATAATTAAATCGTACTAAATCAATAATATCTTCAAGCTGTTCAATAATTCGTGGGGCTGATGTATTACGGATTGAATTTGTTCCAATTAAGAACAGAACTCCAACACACGAGGATAGAATAGAGGATATTGATGAAGAAAGAAGTAAAGATCTAGTACATAAATTTTTGTCATAGTGATTAATCCATTGTAAACCAGAAATTGGTTTGACGATAATTCTATACGAAGTTGCTTGTAAAACAGGAGGAAAGTATTTTCCATGGCTATCAGTTAAAAGAAAAAACATAGGTGGTTCTTTCGATGAAATACCTTCAATAGAATTAGTTAAACCAAGCGATGTTGAAAATGATAGCTGATGATTTTGAGGTTTTTGGCCTTCGTATAAATTTTTTGGACAATTTTTAATAGATTTTGTGAGAAAATGTTCGTAAGAATCAGATATAGGTTGTTGACTAAAAGAAGTGGGATGACTAATTCCAGAATTCATAAGATTACTGTTATTATCCGAATGACTCGGAATCAACACAAATGAATTATGAGAATTAGAAATAGCACTTGATGAATGACAATAATTTTCGATAATAGATATGTGATTACGTTCAGATGTAAGTCGATGATCGTATGACATGTTAGAAGTATCCATTAGCAGACTTGAGATGTGACAGACGTGAAAGAGTTGAAAGAGAAAAGAAAACAAAAATGGTTAGGACAGAAAAAAATCTTTTTTTGTTTTTGTTTTTGACATTAATTCGTTTTCTACAATAGATAGACCCATGATTTAGTATGAATGTAATCCTAAGGCGCCATTGGTTTACACTATATGAACAAAAATAAAGGTCAAACTGATTCGACTGAGCTCATCGGGAAAATCAATAATAATTTTCTTGATTGAGAAACAATAGACAATATGTTGTAGTATAGCGAACGAGATTTGAAAAGAGAAGAAAAGAACGTCTTGGCGAAATCTGCTAATAGTAAATAATTCGAATGAATAAAGAAATTCGAAAAAACATTTTTTTTATTTTGTATTTTTTTGACAAGTATTAATAGACTTTATAAGTATTGATCGATTAGAATAGGACGTACGTCCGCAACATGTACATTCGACGATATATGACTTTCCTCATCTTGTATCTCATATATCGGATGATGCACTTGTGTAATCACCTTCGGTATTGGTGAAAATTTAGGTTCTAATTTTCCTCTATTACCATGAATTCTTATTAATACCTTATCACCGACTTTGTATTTCGGATCAAAACGATTACGATTATATCGATTGATGTTATTTTCGTTTTGAAGGATCATATGATGTCTTGCAGCCTGGTGGTAAATGCGCAAGGTTTTTCTTAACTGCTCAAAATAATCATTTGGTTTAGCAAATGAATAGTACGTTGGTCGTGCATTAAAAGGTAAACGAGGCAAACGACCATAAAGTAACTCATATGGTGAATATTTCGTTGTTTTATGAATCCCAGTGTTGTAGGCAAAAACAACAGCCTGTAGGTATTCATCCCAATTGTTATCCTCAGTATCTTGTAATTTAGATATCTGAGGAATAAAGGTAGCGTTGAACCTTTCAACCATACCATTAGTTTGAGGATGATACTGAGTACTATAGATATGATTATAGCCGATGAGATACTTAATATTCTCCATCAGCTGATTACGAAAATGTGATCCCTGATCACTTAATATCACAGTAGGTACTCCGTATTTACAGAAATATTCATTAAACAGAGTTTGAGCAGTAGTTTCAGCGGTACAATTAGGTAGTGCTATAGCAGTGATATGACGGGTGAAATAATCAGTAATAACTAACACATACTGATTTTCACGCGGTGTTCGTTTTAAAGGTCCACAATAGTCTATCCCAATTAAAAGAAAAGGTCCTTCAGGTGGAGTGATGGGACGTAAATGACCGACGTTCTTATGACGACTAATATTAAATTGTTTACACAAGAGACACGATCTGATGTACTGCTTAATGGTTGCTTTCATACGGGGCCACCAGTAATAATATTTTATTTTATTATAGGTACGTTCAAAAGAAAAATGAGCTCCTGTCATCGGGTCATCATGGCATGCTTGAATTAACGATTTTTCCATTGACGCCGGTAAATAAACTACTTCTATTTTTCTTTTAGAATGACGTGATGTCGTTATGAGCCTATAAACGATGTTATTCTTTATCACGAATGGTATAGTATCTCGACGATTATGAAGTTCTTTCACAACATTTTGTATACTAGAATCATTCTCTTGTTCTTGTTTTAGATTAGTTAAATCAAATTCATTATGTGAAAATTTACGTACGAATGACTTATTGACTCTAGGCATTTGCTGTGATTGATTATCTTCTTCATCGTGATTTGTTACTTCATTATTCGATGTGTCAGTAGTCGTATGGGATTTATGCTGTTTAAAACGAGATCTTAACACCATAGTTGCTAGTAAGTTTTTATCTTTCTTATTATAAGATGAAGATGAACTTTGAGAAATTTGTGGTGATAATAATTCAGATTCGTTGAGATTACATTTATTTTCTAATCCGTAATCGATCTCGAAAAGATCGTCATTCATTTCATTCGAGTATCTTGAGAGAAAGTCCGGAAGACAATTCTCACGTCCTTTTATATGGACTACTTTATCAATATTATACTCCTGAAGTAAATGTGTTATTCGATCGACCCTAGCATTTCGAACAGTCTTCTCCATTATATGACACAACGGACAGTGATCTGTTTTAAGAACAATATTACGACCTAATAGAAAAGTTCGCATTCTAGTGAAACATTTGTAAATAGCTAACGCTTCCTTTTCTATTGTACTGTATTTACGTTCGCAAATAGTCATTAATTGAGAATGATAATACAAATTATGCATCTCGCCTTCTACTTCTTGCTGTAAAACTCCACCGATTCCAATTCCACTAGCATCAGTAGTTAGTATCAATGGAATATCGTCTATCGGATAATGAAGAAATAGAGGTTCACGAACTAGCATTTGTTTTAATTCGTGAAAAGCTTTCGATTGAGCGTATTTCCACTTAAACTTATGACGATTATCTTTTGTTAAATTAGTTACCGAATGTATTGGTGCGGCAACAGTCGCGAAATGTGGAATGAATTTCCGATACCAGCTAAGAGCCCCGATGAATTTATTCGCTTGAGAGAGAGTATGCGGTTCTTTTAGCTGAATAATCGCTTCGATTTTTTCTTTCATTGGTGTTATATATTGTTTACTGACTGTATGTCCTAAATAATCAATCTTATTAGTCGCGAATACACATTTTGGGGGATTAAGAACTAGATTCTTTTCTTTTAGAGCAGATAGTACACATTCGAGATGGTATAGATGTTGTTCGAACGACTTAGAAAAAATAATGATATCGTCGAGATATACTAAAGAATAGTTACGACAGTTTTTTAATGTATCAGTCATTACCTTCTGAAAAGTGGGTGGTGAGTTCTTAAGTCCCATAGGTAGAACATTAAACTGATATAGACCGAAGGGAGTGACAAAAGCTGTCTTCTCCTTATCTGCATTATTTATCGGTATTTGATAAAAACCTGACTTAAGGTCAAGCTTTGAAAAGCAACTATACCCGTGACCTAATTTACGAATCGTATCCTCCATGTTTGGTAAAGGAGACGAATCTTTGATAGTTATCAAATTCAATTTCTTATAATCGACGACAAATCTATATGAGCTATCCTTCTTTTTTATCAGTATTGCGGGTGCAGCATAAGGCGAATGTGATTCAGTAATCAATCCCGCTTGAAGAAATTCTTGCATTAACTGATACATAGCTTGTTCCTTATCTGGTTGAGGATAAGGTTTACAAGCTGGTGGCGAGTGAGGGACAGTATTAATTACATGATGAATTGATGTTTTAGCTATATTATGTTTGCTAATGTCAAAAGTAGCTGAGAATCGAACTAATAATGTTCTTAAATTATTTCGATATTTTTCATTTTCGATCGTTTTAACTAAGGCCTCAACATTACTATTGAGTGACGCATTACATGTTTGTATAGCGTTACAAGGTGATATTCTATTAAAAAATATCCGATTAGTTCGATTTAATTTTTGCGACACGAAAGGTTGATGTAAGGAAAAATGAGTAACACCATCTGTATTTGAATCCGAAGAAACTGTCGTCTTACCAGGAAATCTGGTGACGTCCAATGATTTAAGTACAGATGTAGATAGAACAGACAAAGATTGAGGTAATGAACGACATGAAAGAAAACCTATACAATATCCTTTTCTAATGTGTCGAGGAAACGATGACGTGTTAGAGAACGTAATCGATGAGCAATAATTACGAAAGTTTACAAGTGTATGTGTATCAAAACATATCTTATTACGATGCAAATATTGGTTAGGAACTAAATAAGAATCTAGAGTCGAAATAGGTATATTAACTTTTGATGATCGAGTAGATTTAGGAGGAATATATAATGATTTAGATGAAATAACTGATATTCTTTTTAACTTATAGTCCGGTTCAATATTCATTGTTAATAAACGTTTTCTATACTCAATCGAAATAGTCTGATGTTTAACGTCGAAACTTAGATTATATAAATTAATATAATCCATCCCTAGTATGATGTTAGTACATAGATTTCGGACTATATGCGCTTCTATTTTTGTAATTATATTAGCGAATTCTAAAGATAATTTAACAGTTCCTAATACTTGGAAAGGTGTTATTCCGTCAGCTAATACGAAAGAATAGGATTTTCTATGAATGACATTAGACTGATTGATATGATTTAATAATTTTTCATTGATAAAAGTTGTCGTTGCTCCGGTATCAATCAGAATCTTAGTTTTATAGTTATTTACTAGAGTTGTAAAGAAAATTAGAGATGACTTAGATGGTTTTTTAGCTTTCTTCCCGGAGACAACACCACCGCTCGATGTCTCCGAGATTAAAAATTTGGACAGGCTGGCGCCTCATGTCCAAACTGATTGCATTGATTGCAAGCATTTGCTAAAACTGATTCCTGTATCGGTTCTATATTTGCTGATGTATATGACGGATTAATTGCGTTTACAGTAGGCTGATGAAACCGCTTATTATTCCAAGAATTTGACTGTGTGTACTGAGAACGTTTTCGACTATTATTAAAAGAAGGTTTATTAATGTTCGGTTGATGAAATCGTGAAGGATTATTGTTAAAGCGGTTTTTATTTTTCGGAGCTGATGTATTTGACGACGTTGCTAATTTAGGATCATAATACGAACTACGATAATTTGATGTTTGGTAATTATTATCAAAATTTCGAGAGTAGTTAGCTGAATAGTTATTCGGATTATCATTATATGGTGGATCCATTCGCACTGATGCGGTCGAACTTAATTTTGACATCGGTTTTTGACTCATCTGTATATTATCCTGAGTATTAGTACTATTAATTGTCATATCTGATAACTGCATTAGTTCTTCTGCTTCTTTAGCATAATCAAGAAATTCTTTCGTTGACTTAGGTTTTTTCTTGCGTACTTCAATTTGTATACTAGGCTTAGTTTTATTCAAAAGATTTTTTAATTTTGTAGCCTCACTCATAGTTATGTCGGTTTCTTTACATAGTTTCATGACTTCGTTGAAAAAGCTCCTAATCGACTGATTTTCTCCTTGAGTATAGGATTCTAGTTGTTTGAATGCTAACTCTTCTTGAAACGATGACGTAAACGCTTGTTTTAGTTCGGTTACAAAAACAGTCCATGATGTGAACTGTGATCGATTATTCTTAAACCATTCAAGAGCGTCCCCTTTCAACGAATAGGAAATCAGATCTAATCTAGTAGAATCTGGTATATGTGCTACATCCAAAAGATGTTCGATTTCTTCAGTCCACTTTTTCACATCATCTTTTCCTCCTTTGAATGTTTTCGGATTTTTTATTAGATTACCGACTATTGCTTTACGAAGATCTTTCATAGTTTGATCACATATTGAATTAGATGCGTCATCTGGAACTAAAGCTGACTTTACTATTGATCGTTCACCAATAGAATTGACAAAACCATAATTAGTCATAGCCGTAGAATTAATCTCATGTGACGAAGATGTTAGATTTGTCATATTATTATTATTACTGTTGGTCATGAAATGGCTCGAATCATTAATTAACTTAGATTGATTAGATATCGACAAATCATTCGACTTATCCACATTCGTTTGTTGAAGTTTAGAAACAGCTGATGAACTATCCGTAGATTCGAATTGTGACAACAAGAACTCGTAAAAATCATCAAATGTTCGAATGTCTTTACGATATTTAATATATCTACGTTTTGCTTCGCCTTCAATCAAAAGTGAAATTGCTTCAAATCGAAAATTTCTTCCTATATGAAAACTATTAAATTTATTTTCTGTTTCATCAAGCCATTGAATTACATTTTGTTTTCCTGAAAATCGAACGAAGTTCTGTAGAATAAAAACATCTAAATTATTCTCATTGTCATCCTCGTTCAATTGAGATTCTTCTTCAATCTCCTTTTCTTCTTCATACTTTTTAATAATTTCATTTGATTTATTATTTATTTTTTTATAGTTTTCATCAGTCGATCGTTTTCCATTCGAATTATTAGCTTCATATTCGCCTTTAATGTCATTCGTATTATCAATAGTTTGTGAATTTGCAACTTTATCATGTCGATCTAAAACGACTTCCTTTACATGTAATTCATTTATTTTATTAGTCAAATTATCTTCCATGTCAATGCTTATGGTACTTGTTTCGTACAATTTATCTTTATTATCTTTTTCTGCATTCATTGATTCTAGATTGATCGAATCTTTATGTTTATTCATTTGTAAATTACTACTTATTTCTTTTGGTTTATGCGGAGTTGGTATTATCGCTTTTCTTCGATTACTATTGTCAGAAACTCTTAATCTTTCCTGTGAATATTTAGTTGATGACAAAAACGAATTATCTGTGGTTAATATGTGGTGTGATAATTCAGATGTTAAATTTTTTGAAATAAATGATTTTTTATCTTTATGGGTCATATAATTCTGATTATACTTATTTTTTTTTTTTATAAAAATTTTATCAGACAAAAAACTTTTCGCATTAGATAATTGCAACAAATTCAACTATCAACAACAGAAAAAAAATAGCACAATGAATTATCTCTTTTTATTTTTATTTTACGAATTCTTCGTAATGTCAATTTACGG